GTTATCATCTTCTTAACTCCAGAATGTTTCTGTTTCAAATCCTCCATCCCTGAGCAGCACTAATAGTTGAAAACAATGATTTTCTATCTTATTCTTAGGCAGTAAATATTTTTGTTTTCAAGTGAAATTTTATTCTTACAAATGAAGTTGTAGCAAGACAATGTCAAGCATTAGCACATCCCGGCCAGGCTGCAAACCACGCGAGTGAGGATGTGGGGTCCCTTCTTACATGTGGGCAAGACTCTCCAGGCTTCAAAGCCTGAAATTCAAACTTTATTATACAGTGTAATTGGGGCCTTTTATTCCATCTCAGTGTGGAAGGCCAGGCCAAAATTCCTGATTTTAAAAGCTGGGTATATGTGGATGTGGAGGTGTATCCAAAGCTTTCTACCTGGCATGCTATCTGGACTGTACCTTAGCGAGGTTCAGGGATGGAGCCTGCCCCTACCCGAGATCTATGAATGATGCCTCCAGGTCCAGCAACTTGCTGGCCAGTTAGAAATGGCCTTGGCCCACTTTATCGTTAGCCATGGGAAGGGGCTGGAGTCGTGTCCTTTTTTGATGGACAGCACGTTGCTAGAGATGTCATCACTCCCCAGCAGGTCATGGCGCAACTAAGCCAAGGTCATGTTCGCCATAGCGTGACGGCCCCGAAGTGCCACCCCAGCTGATCATGGAGCTGTGATGAGCTCCAGGGATGGTCTTTGCATGTGATTTTTCACCCTGTGCATTCAGTCAGCGATGCAGAGCAGCCTTGAAATGCTGTGAATCACTATGTGAAGTTTCTGGGTTTCTTACAACTCCACCTCTCTTCTAGGGATTAAATGGGAGCCAGATGAGAACGGAGTCATCGCCTTCGACTGTAGGAACCGAAAATGGTAGGAAAGAGTCAAACCTCTGAGCTGTTTTTTAAAGAGAAAACTTGCAGAGAGGTTTGGGGTTCATTTCCACTTAATTTTCCGCCGACCTAGGTACATCCAGGCGGCGACTTCTCCGAAAGATGTGGTCATATTGGTTGACGTCAGTGGCAGCATGAAGGGGCTCCGTCTGACTATTGCAAAGCAGACAGTCTCATCTATTCTGGATACGCTGGGGGACGACGACTTCTTCAACATCATTGCTGTGAGTGCAGCTGTTTGATGCTTTCTTTGCTTTGTGGGTTCATTTGCTCTCAGCAGCAGCCGGGTAGCGTTCTTACTGCCTTTGTGTACACAGCACTGGCCGCCCCAGGATGGGGACCAGGGAGTCCCATGTGAGACCAGAGTCAGGACATCAGAGGGGCTCTCCGAGGCTGCGAAAGCGGTGCCGCCCATTCCTCTCCTCGCCCAGCAGGCAGGCACTGTCCTCTGCAAGAGTAGCCCCAGATTTGGTCCTTCCGGGGAGCCAGCCTTCCCAGATCCTGGGGCAATTCGACCCAGCAAGGGTTCCCTTAAATGGCTAGATTTCCTCGCGGGGAATTTAACCTGACACTGGATCACTCTGATGACAACGATAGGAACTGTAACCATGACGCCGAAACAAGCGAAGTGTGGAGAGCGGTTTAAGACTCGCAGAACACTTCAGCTCAGCTTCAGAAACAAAAGTGGCATAGGTTAAGTGCCTACTATGTGCCATTTGCTCACTCTTCAGGTGCGCGTTGTTCGTTCCTTTCCCCGACTCTAGGTGGTAGGGGGTGGTTTTGGCTTTTTCTCAGATGAAGCTGCTGAGGTCAAAATTGTGACCTTCCTAAGGTCACCCAGGCCAAGCCCAGGCAGGGTACGCTGCCTAGAAAGGGGCACTGCTGCAGGCATTCACTGCCACTTCTTTTCCTCTTCTGCCCAGGTCTCTGATACAGTTCTCAGCCCCTTATGCCCCTCCCACTCTTTTCCCAAAGGTCGTAGAAACAGTGGGCCCGTTTCTCTCCCTTGAGTATGTACCCAGGTGCTCGTACGTGGTGGTCCCAGGCTTGGCCACATCCCCTCGGTCAGGGACAGGTGGGTTTGCAGCAGAGGCAGCCTGGTGAGGGGCACAAAGTGTGAGCTCTGGAGCCGGGACTGCTCTGAATCCTGGATCTGCCAGTGGAGCATCTTGGGGTAAACCACTCAGATCTGAGCATCAGCCACTAGCTGTGAAGTGGGTGCAGTCCCCTCGCCTACCAGGGTGCTGCCAGGATGACTGAGCCAGGGTGCAGGGGGCTGTGGCCAGTGATGGGAGGTGAAGGGAGGGGTGCTACGTGCAGAGCAGCATGGATGCACTCCAGGAACATGGTCACTGTGGGCCACTTGGCTTCCAGGGTCCGGGGCAGAGTGTGTCATCATGCCACCCTACTTCTGGGCAGCCTTCTGCAAGGGCACGACACCCACTTCTGTTTGCTTGGCAGGGGCACAGGTGTTTAAAGGGGACTGGGCTTGCAGAGGAGTTGTTTGAATTAGTGTCCCGCCTGTGGGCTTCTGAAGAGACTTAGCAAGAAGCACAAGTGGGGGGCACCCTGACTTACAGGTTCAGATTTAGAAGCCCAAGAGACGAAGAGGGAAGGAAGGAGAATGATAAATTCCACGGGAGCAGGAGTTCATCTTGTTCTCTCACTGAGCTGTTTCCTTGTCTAGGACAGTGCCCAGCAGTATCTGTTCCAATATCCGCCGACAGGCTGATGGCAGCAGCTGCCTTCCACAGAGCACCCACTGTGTGCAAGCCCCCTGCTAAGTGCCCATGTGGACTGTCTTACTGGATTTTCCTCAGCTCTGTGCCAGTGCTTGGGGACCAAGAGGTAGAAGCCACTAGCAGTGGGGACTCAAACTGTGCAGGTTTCCCTCACCCTGCTTCCTGCTGGCGTAGAAAACGTGGGGCGTAGAAAACCCTCAGGCACTTACTGTGAATCTGCCTGGCCCTGGGGTACCGGGCTTTCCAAGGAGACCTTCACACACAACCCTGGTTTCCATATCAGGAAAAGTTACTGTAGTTACCGGTCTCATTGTGAATATGCAGAAATGGCCTGATCCCCGCATATCCTGAAGCATGTACAGATAAGAAGCAGCTAATTTGGAACTATCTTTCTTATTAATCTTTTATTACGCATTGCAGCAGAAATTTGCATAATAAGGAGAGCTAACTAATTACATGGTGCATCCTTTATCAGTCAGGATTTATTGTTCTGTTAACAAAACCAATCGATTGAAATAATCTCTGTAAGTTCATTAAGACATACAAACAGTGTCAACTCTGTAATGAAGAGAGGCTGATTAAGATAATTAAAGTAGACATGCCAGTTACTATAGAACAGTTAAGGAAAAAATTATTATTTTTTTACCTAAAATTGTCCCCTTCTTTAAAGAAATCCATCAACCCTCACTGTACATCTGTTTGTTAGTTTTAATATAAACGATCAGCTTCAAGACTTTTTACATAATTATTTCGACAACTAGAATGACACTCTGAACTTTTTTACTGGAAGCCTCTACAGTCAAATCATGAACTCTGTCCCCTCAGGGGTAAGGGAATGGGGCAAATACATTAGTGAATTTATACTAAAAGCCCGAGATCATAAAAGGAACCACTAATTTTTTTTGTGTTTATGAACACACATAATTTTCTACAAAAATAGAGTCAAATTTTACAAAATACTCAGCACGTTTCTTCTCTACTTGTGTTGTAATTGGCGTGTTTGAAGAGCAGGGCACCCCATCACCTAGAGCTGGCGTGAATTTTTCAGCCAGTGCCCCTTGGCTGGATGATACGCTGTTAGCCATCTCCGTTCAAGCGCTCCGCAGTGGATTTGCGTGTATGTTTGCAGGGTTGAGGGCTTCCATGGAGTGCAATCTGGAAGTGAAATTCCTGCCCCAAAGAGGGTATGCATGGGTAGGTCTTATCAGAATGTCCACTAAGTGGGGCATGATGTTTACCTGCTTAGAAACCGTGTTAGTCAGCTCCATCGGCTGTAATAAAATACAACTAAACTACAAATGCTGTAATAAAATAGACTGGGGGTGCTTAAGCAGCAGAAGTGTATTTTCTCACAGTTCTAGAGGCTGGAAAGTCCAAGATCAAGGTCAGGCGGGATTTGGTTTCTGATGGAGCCTCCTTCCTGGCTTGGAGAGAGCCACCTTCTCGCCGTGTGCTCATAGGCCTTTCTTAAGTGCTTGTGGAGAAAGAACAAACTTCCTTCTGTCTCCTTTTAAGTGCGTACCAGTCTGTCACGGGGGGCCCACCCCCTCATGACTTTAACCCTATCACCCCCAAAGCCCCACCTCATAATACCATGACACTGGGGGTTAGGACTTCCACATAGGGATTTAGTGGGGGGCACAAATGTCCGATCCACAATAGCAACATGTAGAGGGTCCTAAACAGTAGATTTGTAATTGGCAAATCTTCATCTGCATGTGCTTGATTTATCCCCCAAGGCTCAGTGTGTCACTAGTTTTGCCGAATTGCGCTGCGGTTTTCCTTTCTCCATCACTTTCTCCTGTTTCCACACTGGCGAAATGGCTCTAGTATTCTGGTGTAGGTGTCTCTTCAGTCTGCTTAGAATGGCCCTCCATCTAGCGGAGGACACCCCCCGCCAGCTCCTGGCAGTGCAGGGAGATGGGAGAGGGGAAACTCCTCCCAGAATGCCCTGCAAATCTGTTTGAGTGCATCGTTCTTGTCGGCCGGATCCCATCCACGAGATGGGACATTACCATTCCACCCTTCATTACTCTGTCAGCCTTCTCTTACTTGCTGGGTAGACGTTTTAGGAGGCATTGCAGTGTTTTAAAGAGAGAGTAAAGAATACAATCTTTATTTGCAGTGTTGGAAACCCTCATGCATTATAGCTGTTTGTACAAATCTAATTCATCATTGCTTTCGATTTTTCAAATCAAATCATTTGATTTTCAGTGCCTTAAGGGGGCAAGGAGGACAGAGGCATAAATGGTGGGAAAGGCATCCCCTCCTTGGCCATTCCAGTCATTTTTGTACGCTTGCATGTTTGTTTGAAGATCATCCCTTAGCACATCTTGTGTATTATCTGAAAACCTTCCAATCCTTGTCTTTCCAGAGAATAAACATGAAAAGATGATGCTCAAAGTTGTTTCAGCTTTCATGGGCAGGGGATTGAAAAATCTATCGAAGACTGATGAACTAAGTGATTGAATTATAAAAAATACTTGAAATATGAGAGTAATTTTGAGCAGTCGAAGTTAAAATTTAAGGTCAAACCACTGGTGCATGAAGAGAGGTGTCACTGACAGGAGAATAGGTGTATTTTTCTGATTCATTTTGAAGTCAGACTCCAAACCATGCATTAAATTAACAACATTATCATAAAAATGAGGGTGCTAATTCTGTCTGAGGCTGAAATTTGAAAAATCATTTTACAGAAGCCTAAGCCATGCATTAAATGAACACGGTATATTATCTGGGCCGATAGTGTTAAATCAGTTGAAAATGCCTCCTGCAGCCCAGTGTTTGTACAGAGTTGAATAGGGGAGAGCATCATTTGTTAGTTCCACCCAGAACTTTCTGGCGCCCTGGTTATAATTTGCAGAATTTTCTTTAGAACCATTCCTCCAGTGTTTGGCCTGCTGTGGATTTTGCTTTTTAAAGTAATCGATTCCGCATTAAAAGTATGAGGATGGCTCATTTGTTCTGTACTACTAATTGCGTCCAGTCGTGTTTCAAATTACATAAGAGGCTTTTGTAATGGGAAAGAATCCCTGTGTTGGTGAAAATGCTGTGGGTTCGGCTGCTTCATTACGTAATCCCTCCACATTTTCATTCTGAAAGTTACTTAATCAAAAGTGCACCAACACAACTATAAAACTATTGAATGGATTTCCAGCGATCCTGTCAGTTTCTTGCATTGTCTCAGCATGCCAGCATTTTAGTTGCATGGGGCTTTGAGGGAATTTAGGATTCTATAAAAGGTACCACTTATTTCCTCTGCTTTTTGTTTATCTGTTTTTTAAGGAGGTAGAGATTCACGTCTTGTTTGTTTTTTATTTGTTTTGTCTTTCTGTCCACTTTTCTCCCCCAATCTTTCTTCCTCTCCCTTTCTGTCAGTAATTTTCTCTGTGATTCTGCCTTTTTGTTTCTTTGTTCTGGTTATTTATTAATTCGACAAATACTATTGATTATGAAGAGGACAGTAGCGGGGCTGCCCTTGT